CTACTGCAATACTGCTGTCTCAGTGAATTGGTTTTATCTGTACAGTAGGTAAGAAGAACCTGTTGGGCAATTACAAGTGGGCCAAAAACTCTACCCTTGGACCATGCTAACACCACCACTTTTTTTGAATATGGGATTCAGGAAGAAATGTGAAGCTCAATTGCATGTATGGTTGTTTCTCCTTTCATAAGTATTCATGACTCCTATAGCTTACTGAATATTACATATTTGGCCATGCAGCTAAGCATAAATTTCTGTTTGCTTTAGCCCTCCCTTGAAGTGATTGCTCTCAGCTTCTTCTGAAGGTTACACTTCCCAGCCTGTGGGCCTACAGGCTGCAACCCTTTATGAGAAATAAAGCTCTCCCTTCCAAATTTATGAACTTAGTGATTCTTCAGTTGACAGTTAGGTACAGGCACTTGTGTGGAAAGGAGGATGCCACGAATGGGGGCTGGGCACTGTAAAAGCATACTATAGAAGATGCCTCCAGCTGGTCATCTTTTTCTCTGTACATCATAGAGATATTTGGGATGTGTGTGTGTCTGTGTGTTATATGCTGATTTCAACCCACATACCTGCCCAAACTATTCAGAAGCTGCCTTGTATCTGTTAGACCCTCATCCTGAATCTTTTTAGCGGAAAGACTTTTAAAGTATTTCCCCCAAAAGAGCATAAGGAACTTCACCCCAAAATATGACTCCTAGATATAATGAGTATTTTGAGTTAAAGGCCCTTAGAGATCAACAGATGTTGGAAAAGATTTTTCCCTTATCTACATAAAGATTGGATGGACCCTACAAGGAGAACAATTGTTTCTCGCCCCCCGCCCCTTATTATCTACTTTCTTTTCGTTTATTTTTTGAGACATAGTCTCGCTCTGCCACCCAGGCTGGAGAGCAGTGGCACAATCTCGGCTCACTGCAACCTCTGCCTCCTGGGTTCAAGCAATTCTCCTGCCTCAGCCTCCTGAGTAGCTGATATTACAGGTGTGTGTCACCACATCCAGCTAATTTTTGTTTTTTGTATTTTTAGTAAAGACGGGGTTTTATCATGTTGGTCAGGCTGGTCTTGAACTCCTGACCTCAAATGATCACCTGCCTCAGCCTCCCAAAGTGCTAGGATTACAAGCATGAGCCACCTCGCCCGGCCTTTTTTTTTTTTTTTTTTTTTTTTTTTTTTTTTTTTGAGACAGAGTCTCACTCTACCACTTAGGCTGGAGTGCAGTGGTATGATCTTGGCTCACTGCAACCTCCATCTCCCTGGGTTCAAGCAATTCTCATGCCTCAGCCCCCTGAGTAGCTGGGATTACAGGCATGCACCACCACGCCCAGCTAATTTTTGTGTTTTTAGTAGAGATGGGGTTTCATCATATTGGCCATGCTGGTCTCGAACTCCTGGCCTCAAGAGATCTGCCTGCCTCGGCCTCCCAAAGTGCTGGGATTACAGGCATGAGCCACTGTGCCTGGCTTCCTCCTCTTATTATCTATTGCAGAAAAGACCAACAATGTAACCACACCTGAACAGACGCTTTCACAAGATGATGTCTCTTCGCAGACTCACTCAGACAATCATTTAGAAATTAATCTCTGCTGCCCAATCCATTCATTCTCCCTAGCAACCATTTATTGCCAATCGACAAAATTACCTGTATTCCCTGTCTCCCCCTCCACCTGAATAAGGCTATCTGGACCCCACTGGAAAGTGGGGTAAGCACTCTGTGGTTCTCCATGTTTACACATTAATACATTTGTATGCCCTTTCTCTAATCTTTTGTGAGCTGATTTTTTTGGCGAACTTTCAGAGGTCGAAAGGGAAGTTTCCCTTTGCCCCTATACCTCTTCCCCAAATAAATATGAAGTCATCTACTTATTTATTGAGATGAGAGTCTATTTGTCACCCAGGCTGGAGTGCAGTGGCATGACCTGGGCAACACTGCAGCCTTGACCTGGGCTCAAGCAATCCTCCTTCCTCAGCCTCACAAATAGCTGGGACTACAGGTGCATGCTGTCACACCGAGCTAATTATCTTTATATTTTAAAGATGGGGCCTTCCTATGTTGCCTAGGCTGGTCTTGAATTCCTGGCCTCAAATGATCCTCTCACCTTAGCATCCTCAGTAGCTGGAATTACAGGCACAAATTACCATGCCCAGCTTTGAAGTCTTTGATTTAAACTCACACCTTCTCTCTCTCTAGGCCACCCAGAAAGCTGTTCACTTGCCTCTGTGTGGAAGCATTTGATTTTTGGCTTGGAGGTTTTCCTTGGCTTTGTATCTTGCCTCATAGGCTTACCTCCTTTCTGTAAACAGCCTTTGTATCCCAGTTGAGTTCACCAGCATGGGATTGACAAAAGACAGGGAACACAGAAACACCACAGCAGAAAGCCACGTGGAATTGGAGCTCTTCAGTGGGATTTGTTTGTTCAGTAATAGGAAGCTGGCTACAAAGACCAAGATTAGGAATAGCCTCCATATAGCAATTATTTACAAAAACTGAGCACTTTGTGCCTTGTAGCTTGATCTAGACTGGCTTGTTTTGTCATTTCTTGGGTACTTCTCTGTCTCCCTTACTGGAGTCTAAACCCCTTAAGGGCTGGGATTATATCTAATTCTTTTCTCCCACAAAGTAAATTCTGCACAGCATGTGTTCAACTAACTTGCTATCAGTGGGACCCGAACTTCCTGAACATTTAACAGCGGGCTCACACATCACTGAAAGGACTCCAGAGAAGGAAAAGACACCGTGAAGGAGGGGAGTGAGTACCTTCTGTGGCCACAGGTGCACAGAAGCTTGTCCCTCCTTTTCTTTTGTCGGTTCCCTGACATGCTCTACTCTCTGCCACCTCCAGGCCTTTTGCACACACCTGTGTGTGGCCACTGGGGAAAGGAGGAATGAAAGTAACTGTGACTCCCACTGGTTTTGCTCTATACTTGTCATTCTGGCAAAGAAATTCCAGAGCCTGCATTGTTCCTCCCACCCCTCTGAGTCATTGCAGGGTCTTTTCCATTCCGAAATTTACTCAAGAATGCCCTTGAATCCTCCTCCTTTATGTTTGATTTGGCTCATGGGTGACTCTATTTGGAATTCCATGAAGAATCTTATAAAACCTGGTAGTAGAGATGTAGTGGCTGTACTTTGCAGACAGAGACATACCCAAGAACGTCATACGCCAGTACTTCTGTCTCCAGCCCCAGGGAGTCCGGATGGCCCTTTGTCAAGTTTCACTTCACAGGATCGGCCAGCTGGGCTTGTTTTAAGTCAGCACCAAAACAGGTTAGATAAACAGGCTCCATATGTTGGGTTGAAGCCATGCCCAGTTGTTCGTCAGAACTACCTGGTTGATTTTATCTCGATTCAGAATCTGCTTTCTTCACAGCCGATTGCCTGATAGCAGAGTCTAAGGTCTCAAAATTAAATCTCAAACAGGAGACTGAAAAGCAAGCAGTCAATTTGCAAAGACTTAAATATGATATTGGGGTGGGGATGGGGCATGATGAGACTCAGAAAACAATACCCCAAAATGAAAGCCTCAGAAAGCAGCCTCAAAAGCAAGTTTTTATCTGACCTTCTGCTGCCCTCCTGTCTCTCTGTCCCATTCTCTCCCCAGGCCAGCCATAGAAACTAGAATCCCTCTTCCCCAAGGCAGGTCAGAGAAACAGAACCCCTTTTCTCTAAACCAGAAAACCTAAAAATTTTCCCTCCACCTTGCCATGTAAAAACTGGCCATAAAGAAATTACCCGACAACCTCGTTTGACTGTAGGTCGTAGGAGCCCCCATTCCAGAGAGGGTCCTGCCCCACACCCAGAAGGAAGGAGTGCTGCTCAGAGAGGCCGAGAAGTAGCTAGACAAACAAGCCTTGCTGGGTTTCCCCACTCCGCCTCACAGCATTTGATCATACTCTTTTTTGTCCAATCATATTTCTACATGGCTGTCCATACTTCGTTTTACCTAAGCACAAAAATGAACAATTTTCCCTGTATCTTTGGGTCTTCATTCTGAAGTCTCCTGTATACACATGTTAAATAAATTCGTGTGCCTTCTCCCCAGTTAATCTGCCCCCTGTCAGAGATTTTCAGCAAACCTGCTGAGGGTGATGGGGATGTTTTCCCTTGGCCCCCACCAGCATATATTCCTTTTTTTTTTTTTTTTTATCTGTGTGTGGGAGGGTCCTTTTGAAAATTCAAATGAAAAAGATGAGTCCCCTTAGACTTCCAAATTTGCAGTGGAATTTAAATTTATTTATTTATTTTTTTGAGACATGGTCTGACTCTGTGGCCCACGCTGAGTGCAGTGGTGCAGTCTTGGCTCACTGCAACCTCCGCCTCCCTGGCTTAGGTGGTCCTCTCACCTCAGCCTCCCGAGTACCTGGGACCACAGGCTCATGCCACCATGCCTAGCTAACTTTTTTTTTTTTTTTTTGGTAGAGGCGGGGTTTTGCCATGTTACCCAGGCTGGTCTCGAACTCCTGAGCTCAAGTGATCAATCCTCCTTGGCCTCCCAAAGTGCTGAGATTACAGGTGTGAGTCACTGCACTTGGCTCGCTCTTTTTCTTGCTTAACATCAGAGTAGCTTTCACACATTTTTTATTCATTCTTCAACACATTATTGTGTTTTTGGCCTAAAGACAGTGATATCAATACCTACCGTTGAGTGGAGTCTTTACAAGGCAGCTTATTTGTCTAAAGTGTCTTGGAAATCCTGTGCAAACAAATTGCTAAGAGTGTTTTCCTCAGGTATGAAAAAGGGTGATTTATTCACCCAGAACTTGTGGTTTCTTTAAGATGTTGTGTATCCTTTTTAAGATTTAAAAGGCTGCTTTTTTCTAGTAAAGTCTCGTCCCAGCTGGCATCATGGGACACGCTGATCTGGAGCTGTTATTGAATTGATGACCATTCCCATGCAGAACTATGGTGCGTTTGGTCTCCTGCTTTGTGGACAAGTATAATGGGATAACCCACAGGATTTACCCACAGGGTAAATCCAAGAAAATTCACTGCAATGTCTTGTGCTAATAGTTTAATGAAATTCACCCTCCAGCAACTTGTGACAGGGCATGGGGATTTTCTCCAGTGTCACCATACTTCAGGAGTGACTGTGTCATCCAGGTGCAGGTATTCTTGGTTGTCCTTTACCTGTTGTCTCTTCTTGTCACATATAGCTAAGAAAGCAGATGACAGGTTCATCTCTATTACATGGGGAATTACCAAGTGGTTGCCTAGCAACTCACACAGCACAGTCAACATGGTCTCTGTTGTGGAATGTAGAGTGGTTAGCTTTCTTTTCAAGAATGCATTTCCATACTTCTTTTGGGTTTCTAGAAAAGAAGGTACATTTCCTGGATTTGAGGTTAGTAAAATGGACTTTTGTATTGCTTTTTCCAGTATTTATTCTATAGTAGGCCATTATTGTAACAAACAACGATTATCTGACCAAATCATCAATATAGTAATTGTTTCACTTCAATTCAGTAAGCATCTTCTATGTGCCATATACCCTTCTAGATACTATAAGGAATTATGAGGATGCACAAGTGTGGTCCCTGGTCTCAGGAAACCTAAAATTTAGTGTAGATGCTTATATGTTTAATAGATGTGTATAAATCACTTGTTTACGCATGTGAAACAGATAGCTATATCTGTATGTAAAATAAAGGTATCTTTATTTGGAAGAGTTCCTTTGTGTTTGATCAAAGGATTTTTTTGCTTGTATTTAGATTACTGCCTTCATAGCTTACAGCTGCAATCAGTTCAAAAAGCTGTAATCAAAAACTGTAATCACTTTTAAGACATAGCTCCTATTGGAATCTAAGTAATTAGCAGCTCTTAAACAGCTCTTGTTGGAATATGCCTTTGCTGCTGCTGATGTTATCAGCTAGGATGGTGCTGCTCAGTGTCTGCACTGCAGTCTTTCTGCATAATTGCTGCTGTGGCGTTCACAGCTCCCTGCTTCTATTTTACACATTCCAGTTTAAAAGAAGCTCCTTGTCTTTCTTTGTCTACTTTGTAACCGTGCAGCTGCCTCTCTCCCCTTAAAGAGGGACTTTGGCATGTCCCAAATCTTGCTTTAGGGAATCCTTTGATTACTTGAGCTAACTTCTTTTCCACTGGAGAGACAGTTGCTAGACATAGCCTGGGATTTGACTAGCCCCTTTCCCATGAATTGACTCAGCTGGTGAATTGTGGCATCTTCATCCTCAGGAAGGTGCCAGGGCATGGTGTGAAGTAAGAGTCCCTTGATGCAGCTGGTGCCTATTCGTTAGATTCTCCTCCTCAGTGAACTATACTGAGACTCCACTGAGGAAAGAGGAAGCTCTTGTGGATAGTTGTGCCACAGCCCCAGAATTCTCTTCCACCATTTTGGCTAGTGCTCTTTGGTTTCTCCACTTGCCTTCCCAGTCCCTGTGCAGGGCCTGCCCCTTGATTGTTTTATCGGCCGTCCAGTTCCCTTAGATCCCTTGAGAATTCGTTTGGACCTCTTGCCTTCACACAGAGCCCTTGACCTTTGCTTCCCAATACAGTGTCAGCTAGAAGGAAGGGGACAAAGGGTAGAAGGGGACTGCGTGAGACCAAACATTGTACAGACATTTTCCTCGAGCTTCCTCATTTCATCCTCATAACCACTTCTCCCTAGCTCTTCACAGCCCCATTCCACACATGAAGCTCAAAACAGTGCTACACAGATTACTCTAATGAGTACTGCCACAGTCTTCTGTCTCAAGCCAGTTTTTCACTTAGGATGAAGCCAACCAACATTTACTGTGTACTGTGTCCCTCCCAACGGTTAGGAGCACCGTAAAGCATAAGGCCCAGTCTCTTCTCTTAAGGAGTTCCCAGAACGGTTTTATAAGTGCTATAATAAAGATTTGGGAACACAAACAGGAAATCAGTTAGTTTAGGTAAAGGATGGGAGATCAGGAAGAGACACTTAGGGAGCCATTTAGATCTGGAAGGTTGGCTAACTTCTATTTACCTTTAAAAATGGACCTAGGGCCGGGCGCGGTGGCTCACGTTGTAATCCCAACACTTTGGGAGGCCGAGGCGGGCGGATCACCTGAGGTCAGGAGTTCAAGACCAGCCTGGCCAACATGGTGAAACCCCGTCACTATTAAAAATACAAAAAAAAAAAAAAAAGTAGCTGGGCGTGGTGGCGCACACCTGTAGTCCCAGCTACTCGGGAGGCTGAGGCAGGAGAATCGCTTGAACCTGGGAGGGGGAGGTTGCAGTGAACCGAGATTGCGCCGCTGCACTCCAGCCTGGGTGACAGAGTGAGACTCCGTCTCAAAAAAAAAAAAAATGGCCTAGAAAAAGCTGGGTGTTGGCGGGCATGGTGGTTCATGCCTGTAATCTCAACACTTTGGGAGGATGAGGTGGACAAATCACCTGAAGTCAGGGGTTCGAGACCAGCCTGGCCAACATGGTGAAAGCCTATCTCTACTAAAAAAATACAAAAATTAGCTGGGCTTTTTTGCAGCCACCTATAATCCCAGCTACTTGCGAGGCTGAGGCAGGAGAATCACTTGAACCCAGGAGGCGAAGTTGCAGTGAGCTGAGATCACGTCATTGCACTCCAGCCTGGGCAACAGAGCAAGACTTTGAAAAATAAAAAAAGGAAGGAAGGGGGGAGGGAGGGAGGGAAAGAAGGAAGGAAGGAAGGAAGGAAGGAAGGAAGGAAGGAAGGAAGGAAGGAAGGGAGGGAGGGAGGGAGGGAGGGAGGGAGGGAAAGAAAAGCTGGGTGCAATGGTGAATGGCTGTAGTCTGAGACCAGACTGGGCAACATAGCAAGACCTCATCTCTAAAAATAAATAATAATAAATAAAAATTAATGATGGGCCCAGAGCAGAGATCAGTTGCCTTTTGATGTTGGGAAATCTTTTATTGCTTGAATCTAAATCCTTTATGCTGCAGTTTACACCATATTTCCTCTCATTTCAACTTCAGTTAAAATAGCGAAAATCTGTGTCTAATACCCTAGTCACTCAGAGGTTTTTTAGCAAGTCATATCTGGCTCATTACCCTAACACAGAAAAGAAACTATTTTCCTGTCACCCCAAAACCCTGCAGCTAGACTTTTCTAGCTGCTGCACTGGGAACAGTTTCTAAGAGATTCCTTCTACTAGGCCTTCCCTAGAAGCAGGGAGGTAGGCAGGGCAATCAGCTAGTCGGGCAGCCTGCCCCAGATAACTGCTCTTGGAAAGAGTCTGCGTTGTAAGCATTTCTCATGGTATCTTGACTGAAGACAGAATTTTTGAAGTTAAATGACATATAAAAGACAGGAATAAAGTACAGGGTCTCACAACATCCCGTACGAGATTTTTACCAGCCTATGGGTCATAGTAACCAAAGAGGTCATATTGACATCCAGACCTAAATTTAATTAGCTCTGGTCTCCTACTGAAGGTCTATAGAACTTGCTAGTCATCCCTTGCCCTGCTAACTCACCCTCAGTTATTTCTGGGAGACCCCCAAAGTATCTCCTATAGGTTCATAGGCAAACCCGCTATGTTCTTCCACTTCAGCCTCCCCATTCATGGTCTGCTATTCACAAGCTCCTTAAACGGGGGTACCTCATTAGTGTCTGTGGCCTCCATAAGAACATTGTTCTTGTAGTGGTCACTCCTGTTGCCCTGCTGGGAGCAGCGTTCTCTCCCTTCTCTCCTGAGGCCACTCTAAGCCAGCAAGTCACCAAAGTGGAGGGTGGGATAGGGCAGCAGGGACCTCTCACAGACTGGCTGCACTTTGTTAAGTGCGTTTTGAAGCAAAGTTGCATATATCTTTAATTGCACAAAGCCTCACACAGTTACTCCTCTTTCCATTTATCGCCCTTCATGCTTCCCTCTCTGGGGCTGGAAATGAGCCTCTCAAGCCATCATAGAAGATAATAGCTCATCAATACCTTCCAGTACCCTTATCTTTCTCCCCAGAGAGCTCTGAACCCAAACAAAACAACTTTCACAAAACCAAACAAATAAAACTCAAAACCCTCTTCAATTCAAAATAGCAAAAGTATGTCAATTGTTGCAAATACTTACAAATACTTGGGTGGACAGAAGTGAGAAGGTTGGTGATGCTTTGTATGCTCCGTCCCATAATTCATAAAACCCAGGAATAGTGGGGATTTCTCGTATAACCTGAAAAGGAAGTCAACTTATTTGCATAAGAAACATAATGCATGAAAGCTCCCATGTCATTGGCAATCTGTGAGAATGCAATCCTGGGAGAAATCTGCAATGGTTGTAGTCCAAAATTTAACAGTGCTTTGTCAAATACACTTTTTGCTATACAAGAATTTTCTCTGTAGGCTCTAAGAAACATCCACTGCACCCTACTCCAAAATAAACACATAGAAATTAAACTCTTTCAATCCAGATAATGCAAAAGACAAAGATAGAAATAGGATTGCCCTAAAAGTAGACTTCACAGTATGGTGGACAGAGCTCAGGATGTGGCTTTAAAGGTCTTAGTTGAATCCAGGCCCTGCCACTTACAAGTTGGAATCCCCTGAGAAAGTCCCTTTCCTGCCAGGCGCGGTGGCTCACGCCTGTAATCCCAGCACTTTGGGAGGCCAAGGCAGGCAGATCACGAGGTCAGGAGTTCGAGACCAGCCTGACCAACATGGTGAAACCCCATCTCTACTAAAAATACAAAAATTAGCCAGGCATGGTGGCACATGCCTGTAATCCCAGCTACTCAGGAGGCTGAGGTAGGAGAATAGCTTGAACCCGGGAGGCAGAGGTTGCAGCGAGCTGAGATCGCACCACTGCACTCCAGCCTGGTCGACAGAGCAAGACTTCCTCTCAAAACAGCAACAACAACAACAACAACAACAACAACAAGCCAACAAAAAACCTGTAAAAACTTGCTTTTGTGGTCTAAGTATATTCTTAGTTTAAAACCAAAATGTTTTGTTACCACTGCTATTTGTTTAAACATCCCTGTTTCAACATTAGCTTTGGCCATAGAGGGTATCTGGGACCAGAAACACAGGATCTCTGTTAAAAGAACACGAAACATCACTTCCACATGACCTACAATTTCTAGAATGGAGAGAAAGCTTCAATAAACATTCCATGATAGCATGCAACAAAGGCAAGTAAAGGCTGTAATAGAACATTGGCATGGTGTTCTTAAAAGAATAATATTATTTGTCCTGTATTTAGCCAACACAAGGATGTGTTGCTCTTGTTTTCTCATGGTGGGAGATATGAAGTTATGAAGAGATAGTTACTGGATCGAAATAGGAGGAAATGATGCCAGACAGCTAGAAGAAAATATTGGTGTGCATTGATTACACAATAAACAAGTAAATACATAAGGAGCTCTTCTTTACCATTATTCTAAATCTTCAGTGATAAATCACTATACTTCACAAGGATCTATGAATTTTGCAACATATTACTTTTAAATTAATTTGTTTATTTTTTATTTTTATTTATTTTTTTGAGACAGAGTCTCAAAAAAAACAAGAAAATGCTATGGAGAAGAGCAGCATCGGGGGGCAAAGATAAAGCCAAGTCCTGGTGATATTGTTTGAATCCCTGGATCAAGCTTGGCCTGAACCAGCACAATGCCTAATCCCTGGTCTGCTCAGTTATATGAAACAGCATCCCAATTTAAAGTCATTTAGAGGTGAATTTTCTGTCACTTAGTGCAACCAAGAGAGCAGTAACTGATGCGAAGGCCACATAGACTTGGCTTTTTTTTTTCTTTTTCTTTTTTTTCCTGAAGTATAAATTCCCTTAGCATCTGTGTGGCCCAGCACTACCCTGGATATCCTTAGCTGTCTGGTCACAAATGGGGACTGCTACTTGGCGGTGATTCTCAACCAGGGGTGATTTTGCCCCCAACGGACAGTTAGCAATATCTAGAGACAGTTTTGATTGTCATGGGGTTGGGGGAAGCGCTACTGGCATCTTGTGGATAGAGGCCAGGGATAGTCCAAAATATCCTACAATGTACAGGGCAGCCCCTGCAACGAAGAATAATCCAGCCCAAAATGTCATTAGTGCTCTGTAGATTGTTTTGGCTGCCGTAACAAAATACTTTAGACTGGGTAATTTATAAACAGTGGAAATTTATCATTCACAGTTCTGGAGACTGGAAAGTCCAAAGTCAAGGCACCAGCAGATTCAGTGTCTGGTAAGGGCTCATTCCTCATAGATGGCGCCTTCTCTGTGTCCTGGTATGGCAGAAAGGGTCAACAAGCTCCTTCAGGCCTCTTTTATAAAAGTTTTAATCCCATTCATGAGGGGAGAGCCCTCATGACCTAATCATGTGGCAGGCAGATCGTCTAAGGTCAGGAGTTTGAGACCAGCCTGGCCAATGTAGAGAAACCCTGTCTACTAAAAATACAACAACAAAAAAAACGGGCTGTGGTAGCTCACACCTGTAGTCCCAGCTACTCGGGAGACTGAGGCAGGAGAATTACTTGAACCTGGGAGTTGGAAGTTGCAATGAGCCGAGATCGCACTACTGCACTCTAACCTGGATGACAGAGCAAGACTCTGTCTCAATAAATAAATAAATAAATAAATAAATAAATAAATAAATAGTAAATAAAATAAAGAGTGTTAGGAGTCTTCTGTCCTATAGGCTGTGAACAACTAAGCTTGTTTAGGTCCTGAAATGTCACTGTCATTGTCAGCATGATAAATGCTTTGTGCTATAATAATACAGAGAATCAGGATGTCTATTCCCCAAAGCCTTTGTGATGGAGAAGGTGGGCTTTCCAGAGGCTCTGACTGTGGAATGTGTCTAGAATCCTCTGCATGTTTTCCAGGTTCACCTCCACACCCTCACCTCTGCTCAGCCGGGTCCTTGCTAGGAGCTGGAACCTGCCTAGTGGGTCTCTGATCACAGCCCCATGCTCCACAGACCCCGGACTCTCCACAGCCCCAGCTCCTGCCTTGTCCTGGTTCCTTCTACCAAGGGGCAGCCTTCTTTACAAAGCCGGACTCTTTTCTATTTTTATTTTTTGAGATAGGGTCTTGCTCTATCACCCAGGCTGGAGTGCAATAAATAGTGCAATCACAGCTCACTATAGCCTCCACTGCCTGGGCTTAAGTAATCCTCCTGCCTCAGCCTCCTGAGTAGCAAGGACCACAGACGCACAACAACACTCTAAGCTAATTTTTAAAAACTATTTGTAGGGATGAGGTCTCACTATGCTGCCCAGGCTGGTCTCAAGCTCCAGGCCTCAAGCGATCCTCCTGCCTTAGCCTCCCAAAGTGCTGGGATTACAGGAGTGAGCCACTATGCCTGACCCAAGCCTGACTCTTAAAAAAGGACAGAGCTAGTACCAAGCTTGTGCAAGGACAGTGAGAGAGGGGAGACTCAGTAATTATTTTCCCCCAATAATTAATAAGACATTTAAAGGACTTATCAGATCACCACAGCTCCATCATCCCTGGGGAACTGTTTGGTTTAGCAGAACTGTTCCCACTGTGCCCCCTTTCACTTTCTTCTTTCCTTGCCCAGACCCCTCCCCCACTCAGTTGATGTTGCGCAAAGCTTTCAAAAAAACAAGTTTTGTTCCCAGGTCAGCTATATCCTCCCAGGAAGTTTCCCCATCCCAGGGTGAAGTCAGGCCAACACAAGGTGAAGAGTTCGGAGGGTGGGTGGCGGGGGCAGGGGTGTTTTGCGCCGGACAAGGAGTTCTATTTTGTTGTTGTTATTCTTTGTGTCATTTCCAGAGAGATAGGAAGGAAAACATAGTAAACATTTTTCAATTCTGCACAAAAGCCGAGAAGGGATTTTCTTCAGGAACCTCCCTCTGGGTCAAGGCTCTGCCATGGCGGGGAGGCAGAGGGTGGGGGGTTAAGAAATATAAGGCCCAGTTCCCCGTGGAGGCGGGGGTTCGGTGAAACCAATCCCTTGAATGTGAGATGGAACCAACATGCAACTCAGTTTGCTTTGGCTCTCACTGTGCATTTGAGCGAAAGCAAGGGAAGCACTTCCTGTTCCCCTGGCTGAAAGCTCAGCTGACCCCGAGGCTCTTCTGGTCATGCTTAGGTATGTGCGTTTTATGTCACAAAATCCAATATCGACTTAGAGATTTAAAGTAGCCAGTCAAAGATATTAAATGACACTTGCATTTTTCTTCAAAGAGAAATCTTCTTCCTCCTGCCCTAGTTAAGGCCTTAGTTGGGGGCTGCCAGCTGCCAGGGACTGGGCATGGTGAGCTTTTGTCTATTCTCTCCTGAATACCCCTCTCCCCACTTGCTGGTTGCTTTCAGAGTCTAAATGGAGGTGATGGGTGAGGATGCAGGGAAGCAGGAGGGGAGCAGGGGAATAGGGCCGTTTTTACTTGACTGTATGATTGCCAGCTCTCTGGGTGTGGCAGATGGTGAAAGCTCTTTCTGGAGGGTTCCCTGTGTTCTTCAGAAGTTCCCATCTCAGCCAGGTGCAGTGGCTCATGCCTGTAATCCCAGCACTTTGGAAGGCGGAGGCGGGCAGATCACTGGAGCCCAGGAGTTCTAGACCAGCCTGAACAATATGGCGAAACCCCGTCTCTACCAAAAATACGAAAATTAGCTGGGCGTGGTGGTGCACACCTGTAGTCCCTGAGAGGCTGAGGCAGGAGGATCACTTGAACCCAGGAGGCAGAGGTTGCAGTGAGCCAAGAATGCGCCACTGGACTCCAGCTTGGGCAACAGAGCAAGAAACCCTGTCTAAAAAAAAAAAAAAAGAAAAGAAAAGAAAAATTCCCATCGCTGAGGTTCTCTCCTGAAGTTCCCTGTTCTATACCTCCATTTCAGGTACGGCTATGACTCCGTCTTCAACCCCCAGAAATCCAGCATCCTCTTGCAACTTCTTCCTGCTGACATCCCTTTGCCCTTCTCGGAGGCCCTACAGGACTTAAAATGACCCCCCCACCTTGGCCCTCTCTCCTGCCATGGTCCAATCTGATCCACATCTGGCCCATGGGAATAACTCACACAGCCCCTTCACTCATCCTAATGCAGTCCCTCCTGGCACAGTCCCATGGGGGCCCACAGCTCCAAGTGGCTGCATGGAAGCCTCCATCACTGGGCTTGAGTCGAAGGTGGTACCTTCAGCTCCTCGGTGGGGTAGCTTACAGCATAGCTTTGCCCTCTCTGGAAGTTTCTATTCCCAAACTCTCCCCATTCTTCACACTCTTTATATTCTTGGTAGGCTGAGGGCCCTGAGTGCTATGCAAGTGGTTCCCCATTATTTCCTTTGTAAATACTACATATGGGAGTCTGTCTCACGTTCAGTTTGCTATCTGATATTGTGGTAGCCTGCTTCCACGATGGCCCCTAATTGTCACCACCTCCTGGTATTCACATGGTTGTGTCTCCTCCCTTCCTTAACAGGGCCGACCCTTGTAGCCACTTGCTATTGCAGAGCTGATGGCATGCATCTTCTGAGGCTAGGTCATTGTTGTGTGTTGAATGATGTCCCCCCAGAAGATACGTTGCAGCCCTAACCCCTAGGGCCTATAAATGTGACCTTTTCTGGAAATAGTCTTCGCAGCTGTCATCAAGGGTTGTTCTTGACTAGAGTGGGCCCTACATTCACTGACTGGTATCCTCATAAGGAGAGAGAGACACAGAGTAGACAGACACAAGGGAGAAGTCCGTGTGAAGATGGAGACGGAGATTGGAATGATACAGCCACAAGCCAAGAAACATCTGCGGCCATCAGCAGCTGGAAGAGGCAAGGAATTATTTATTCTTTCCCACTTATTCTTTCACCAATGAGCACCTTCCATGTGCCACTGTTCTGACCCTGCTGACAGCGTGGTTTCAGACTTCTGGCCTCCAGAATTGTGAGAGTAAATTTCTATTGTTTTAAGTCATCTTGCTTGTGGTACTTTGTTACAGCAGCCGTGTGGATCTAATATAGTCATAAGAGAGACATTATGACCTCCTCCCTGCTCTCTCTTGAACCACTCATTCTGGGAGAAGTTAGCTGCCATGTCCTGAAGCTACTCAGGGAGGTCTATGGAGAGGTCCATGTGGCAAGGAACTGAGGCCTCCTGCCAATAGCCAGCACCATCTTGCCAGCCTTGTGAGTGTGCTATCTTAGAAGCACATTATACGGCCCCAGTCAAGCCTTCAGATGAGTGCATCACAACTTGACATCTTGACTGCAACCTCATGAGAAACCCTAAGCCAGAACACCCAGCTAAGCCACTCCCCAGTTCCTGACCAAAAGAAACTATGAGATAATAAATGTTTATTATTGTTTTAAGCTACTAAATTTTGAGGTAATCTGTTATGTATCAATAGATAACTAATACTAATATCTGTCGTATTGGGGCCTCACTGTAACTTAGAACAGAAAGAGTTCTGTATTATAATTCTTTTTTTTTTTTTTTTTGAGACGGAGTTTCGCTCTGTTGCCCAGGCTGGAGTGCAGTGGCCAGATCTCAGCTCACTGCAAGCTCTGCCTCCCGGGTTTATGCCATTCTCCTGCCTCAGCCTCCTGAGTAGCTGGGACTACAGGCGCCCGCCACCTCGCCTGGCTAGTTTTTTGTATTTTTTAGTAGAGACGGGGTTTCACCGTGTTAGCCAGGATGGTCTCGATCTCCTGACCTCGTAATCCGCCCGTCTCGGCCTCCCAAAGTGCTGGGATTACAGGCTTGAGCCACCGCGCCCAGCCTCCATATTATAATTCTTAAACGTTATTTGGAATGGTTAGGGGCCTCAATGCTAGTCTCTCTGGGGATATTTCCAGCAATGGGCCCCACAGCCATTTATAGTGAGTTGTCCCACTTACTCTTTCATCAGTGAGCACCTTCCATGTGTCAGATGCTATATTAGAGACTGGGGCTATAGAAATGAACAGTCTTTTGGGAGGCCCAGACAGGGGGATCACCTGAGGTCAGGAGTTCAAGACCAGTCTGACCAACATGTGGAAACCCCATCTCTACCAAAAAAAAAAATACAAAATTAGTTGGGTGTGGTGGCGCATGCCTGTAATCCCAGCTACTTGGGAGGCTGAGGCAGGAGAAACCCGAGAGGCAGAGGTTGCGGTAAGCCAAGATTACACCATTGCACTCCAGCCTGGGCAACAAGAGTGAAATTCTATCTCAAAAAAAGAAAAAAAAAGAAATGAACTTAATCTCTTAACTGGTGGTCATTATGGTCTCTGCCAGTGGAGCACAATGGGCAAGAAGGACAGCACTGCTTTGCAGAGAAGGGAAAAGAGAGACATCACTGAGGCACTGAGAAGAGAAGCATTCAGTGGTGTGACCCTGAAGAGGCAAGAAGAGGACCAAGTTCAAGAGTCTGCAAGAACAGTGGGAGGTAGAGCTGGAACTAGGATCCAGACACCCCATTTCTAGTCTTGAATTTGTGCTTCCTGAACTACACTGAGGCTGGCTCATGGTACCAGGGTCTCTGAAGATACCTGGAGGCATGGACTTGAATCCTGCTGGGATACTACTCTTTGGATAATAATTTCTCTATCGAAAGGCAGGGTACAGAGTCTTGGAATCTTGTTTCTGCTCTGCCATCTTAGCTAAATAACTCCCTTTGGAGATCCTTTGAACCCTGATATATCAGCAAGCCCCTCTGAAACATCATAAGCCTCAGGAAAAGAAGGCTGGCCTTCTCCTCCATCTGAATCCTAGCCCTTCTTTTTTTGAGACGGAGTTTCACTCTTGTTGCCCAGGCTGGAGTGCAATGGCGTGATCTTGGCTCACCGCAACCTCTTCCTCCTGGGTTCAAGTGATTCTCCTGCCTCAGCCTCCAGAGTAGCTGGGATTACAGGCATGCAAAACCATGCCCTGCTAATTTTGCATTTTAAGTAGAGATGGGGTTTCTCCGTGTTGGTCAGGCTGGTCTTGAACTCTCGACCTCAGATAATCCGCCCGCCTCTGGCCCTTCTTAGTAGTGGTGTTTTCTAAACAGGTTAGATCAGAATTTGACACCTACTGAAATCTCCAGGGTGGCCCCTCCCAAGGTCAAATTGCACATCTTGCCGATGAGAAGAGCCTTCACTTCTTGAGCATCTACTCAGCAGCAAGTGATTTCTCTAATCTTCACAACACCCTCTCAAGGCAAGGGATCATGCACCACACTTGGCAATCTAGGAAAGTGAAGTTCAAGAACAAGCCCCAGGACACATGGCTAGTGGCAGCGAGGCACAGAGCTGGAACTCCAACCCAGGCCTGTCTAACCCTAAATCTCCTCCTATCCACCCTCCTTGCTGCCACAGAGGGTGACTCAGAGGTACTCAGTCTGGGGAATTCAAGCCAGTATCCCAGGAAGTGGAATTTTCTCCAGTGTCCTAGGAAGGAGGGATTACCATGGCATGGGGTGGACCAGGTAGACACAAGAGGCAGTGAAGTTGCATAAAGTGGTGACTAAAGAGAATGGAATCTGCTGTGGTTTGGATATGGTTGTGTCCACCTAAACTCATGCTGAAATTTGACCCTCAGTGTGGGGGTGTTGGGAGGTGGGGCGTAGTGGGAGGTGTCTGGGTCATGGGGGCAGATCTGTCAGGAATGGCTTGGTGCCATTCTCGCAGTGGAGAGTGAGTTTTCACCCTGGCAAGGCTGGATTCTTGTAGGAATGGATTTGTTCCCAAGACAGTGGGTTGTTATAAAGCCAGGATGCCCCTTGGGTTTTCCCTTCTTTGCAAGTGTTCACTCTCCCTTTGACCTTCTGTATGTTGCAGCTCTCACCAGAGGCTGAGCAGATGCTGATGCCATGCTTCTTGATTTTCCCAGCCAACAGAATTGTGAATTGAATAAACCTCTCTTCTTTACAAATTACCCAGTCTCAGGTATCCTGTTATGGCAACACAAAATGGACTAAGACAGGTGGGTGACAGAATGTCCAGGTTTGTAACCTAGCTTTTCCTTGTGCACCATATCTCAGGTTCTTCATCTGAAAATTGGGGATAAGAGCATGTACCTCCTTGGGTTTTGGGGAAGATTAAATGAGATAATGCATGTGAAATTCATGGCAAGAGTAAACTGCCCATTACATTTTTCTGCTATTAACATTGCTATTGACATTACTTTCCCTCCATGGCCACTAGACTCTTGTATCAGGCAAATATTTGAAGAGAGACAAATTTAAACGAAATAGATGTAACTTGGAGGATGATGGCAGAGAAATCTGTGGCTTCATGGTTTTTTTGTTTTGTTTTGTTTTTTGAGACAGAGTCTTGCACTGTTGCCCAGGCTGGAGTGCAGTGGTGTGATCTTGGCTCACTGCAACCTCCGCCTCCTGGGTTAAAGCGATTCTCCTTCCTCAGCCTCCCTAGTAGCTGGGATTACAGGTGCCCGCCACCACGCCCGGCTAATTTTTTGTATTTTTATAGAGACAGGGTTTCACTATGTTGGCCAGGCTGGTCTCGAACTCCTGACCTCGTGATCCACCCGCCTTGGCCCTCCAAAGTGCTGGGATTACAGGCATAAGCCACCTCACCCGGCCTTGAAGTTTGTTTTTCTTTTTTTTTTTTTTCCAGCTCTAAGACAGCTCCCTGTGTAAGATGACGAGTGTGATTCATTGCAATCAGCTCCTCTCCATGTAATGAGGGAAGTTGGATGTCATCTTGCGGCTTCTGTCCAAGTTGATGCAGTTATCTATTGTGTCCACAGGATGTCGCTATCAATCACGCTTCGACTGAGTACAGCCAAACCAGGATACTCAGGGAATTGGAACCTGTTATCAGACTTCCATTTAGTACAGACACAGCGCCAGGGGACTGAGCATTCTTCGGCAACACCCTTTGGACCCCTTCTCTACACCAATGCTGTGTGACCTGAAGGGCTGGGGACATGAAGGAGCAGCTCAGCTAAGGTGACCCAGATGGTTGGGCTCGGAGCTGGAAGAACACTGTGGTCTCCTACCTCCCAATTCCTGCATCTGTCCTGCTTGTAAGAGGCTTGCCAAGAACAGGAGCTCTTGTTTGTAGGTCTCTAGGGATGGCCACCGCAGGGAGTGTGATTTGAAGATGGGTTCGGGGTGACATTACAGGCCCCCTTTAGGCTCTGCTGGTTGCAGGCCAGCTCTCTGGGGTGCCTTTCTGATGGCTGCTATTTTAAAGGCAGATAGGATGACATTAACAACTTTTATCATTCAACTAGCAAGGGCTCAGGACGGGCAGCCCCCTTCTGGGAATGTGCCTAACTCCTGCCCCAGAATGGAGGAGTCTCTGTGGCTCTAGGGGAGCTGGCCTTCTGTGGAGTCTGAGCAATGTACTGCACAGGGAGAAGACGCTGCCAGCTGATACCAGTGTCTCTATGCAGAGACATTTCCAGGACACCACGTTAAGCAGCAGAGACACAAGAAGTCAAGGCCCATGTGCTCTGGTGTGGACGTGTGCCTCCTGTGCCTCAGTGGCATCATCTGTACCATGGGAGGTGTGTAATGAGGGGTGCAATCACGACTGCAAGTGCACGTACATAGTAGATGCCCAGGAAGTGCCAGTCCCCATCTCCTTCCCAGTTTCTTCAGAGCCTTCTGGAAGGCACTGGCATAGCCCAGTCCTGAGGCATTGCTTTTTCTTTCATGGATGATCAGGAGCTTCTGTGATTTCTTCCCCCTCACTCTTCATTTTGCCAAGATGTCGCCCATAGTAACCTCAGCAGTGGAGCGGGGATTCTGCACTGTTCCACTGCCCGGGGCTGCACATCCACGTGAGCGGGGCCGACCCGTCCCAGAACGCTTTGCCCTTGGAAGGCAGCATCACCTGCAGGGGCAATGCTGTGGACAGCTCTGGCATGTCCTCCAGGGCCCTGGCATGGTCAGTGAGAAAAGGCCCCCAGGCGTGGGCTTCTCCCATCAGTCAGGTTCAGAAGGCTTCCTGGGGTAAGTAGAGACGCTCCCTACCCAACTGAGTTGTTAAAATGACAGGAGGGAGAGGGGAAGGTCTGGGCCTGTGGCACTGTGATTTTTTTTTTCTTTCTTTCTTTTTTTTTTTTTTTGGAGACTCGTTGGGGTAGAAATGAGGACAGGAAGAAGTACAATCCGTCTGGGATTGGTTTATTTTTATTGCTTTTTAAAACCATGTGACTAATTGGTGTTCATTGAAAAAGAGAAAACAAAAATAAGCCAAGAGAAGACAGCAAAAATAGTCTGTTAACATCTTGGCAAATATCCTTTTTCTCTGCATAGAAACAGAGAATACTTTTGTTTCACTTATAAAATGTTTCTTGCTGTACACAGCTTTATAACCTGCTTTTTTCTTAATGGAACAATATACTAGGACATGTTTTCAGGCCAACAGATAAATATACTTCACTTGCATTGATGCTATTGGCACCATGGTGTTCTGGTGGTTGGTAATTTACCCTGTCATTCTGTCTCCCTTTACTCAGTGGCAAAAATGACCTGGGCACCTGCCCCTGGGCCTGGGCTGGACATCGGTCCTTGGCAGATGGGGAAGGTTGGTGACCAGCAAGGCACAGAATAAGGACACATGGTCCCAGCAGACCCTTGGGATGACCTTGACCACTTGGACCTTGGAGAGAGAGGGGACAGGAGAACAGAGGGCAATGCCACATGGAGGGGAGGGTGCAGATGGCTGGTGGCTGGAACTCCGGGAGGCTGAGCAGTGGGGGTGGCAGGAGAGAACTGGCTCCTTCTAGATAGGGGAATATCGTGGTTAGGGTTCTGGGGTCAGATTGGATCTGGGCTCTGTCACCTACTAGCTGAGGAATAAATAATTGAGCCTTGGGGCCGGGCGCGGTGGCTCATGCCTGTAATCCCAGCACTTTGGGAGGTCAAGGCGGACGGATCACCTGAGGTCGGGAGTTCAAGACCAGCCTGACCAACATGGAGAAACCCCATCTCTACTAAAAATACAAAATTATTAGCCGGGGTGGTGGCGCATACCTGTAATCCCAGCTACTTGGGAGGCTGAGGCAGGAGAATCACTTGAACCTGGGAGGCAGAGGTTGTAGTGAGCCGAGATCACGCCATTGCTCTCCAGCCTGGGCAACAAGAGCGAAACTCCATCTCAAAAATAAAATAAAATAAAATAAATAAATAATTGAGCCTTGGATCATCACCTATAAAACTAATAATAGATCAGATTGATGTGCCAGGATTAAATGAAAGAATCTACAAGCTATAAAAAGTGCTGCGTGGCAGCTGCCTTTAAACTTATTCTTACCATTGACTTTGTTATTATTGTTGCTGCATTTCCAGGTAATGCAGAAGGGCTTCCCTCTTCCCTAGCCCATCCCTCTTTCTCATTTCTCTCACATTCCTGCTTCCTTTCTCTTCCTTTTCCCCTGCAAGAGCTTTGGCTCTGGGAGCAGTGGCAGGAGGGAGGGAAGAGGCTGCAGCCGCTACAGCCTCATGCCACATGGGGGCAGCAAGGCCCTCTGAAATGTGGGCCTGCCTCTCCCACCGTGCCTTCTGGCGGGTGCAACGGCCCAGAAGAAAGAAATCCATACCCACCTGGGCCCAGGTAGGGAGGCACTGCCCAGAGGGGTCCCACGGTCCCCAGGCTGGACCGGCCAGGCCCTGGCAGCCAGAGTGGGTGACTGTGACAACAGGTCCCGGGAAGGCAGGGTGCCCCAGAGTGGGGCTGGGTCTGCTAAAGAGGGAGCTGGAGAATCTGGAGAAGGGTGGGAAGGAGGTGTGAGGGTTCTCCAGGAACCTACAAGGCTCCAGGTGCCATGAGAGGTGGCCCTAGGAAATTGGCCAGCCGAACTTGGTCTTTGGGACAGCCCAGAAGAGAGAATTAAGTGGGAGTCAGTATAGCACAGTGGCTCAGCACACGGGCTCCGGGGGCTGGCTGGACCTGGCCGCCACTGGTGGCTCTGGTGCTTACCAGTTATGTGGCCTAGATCGATTCACTTAACCTCTCTGAGCCTCCATTTCCTCACCTGTAAATAATAGTGGTACCTACCTCATAGAGTTTGTGAAAACTAAGGTAATATACACAGAGCACTTGGCACACTGCCCAATCCACGGGAGCTTAGTTATTTTTATCACTATCAGGTAAGTTGGCCTGGAGAGCTGGGAGACAGCTGTGTATAGAAAATGTATGTGCTGGCCATGCACATGCATGGTGGCTCAAGCCTATAATCCTAGCACCTTGGGAGGATTGCTTGAGGCCAGGAGTTTAAGACTAGCCTGGTTAGTTCAACATGGCAAGAGCCCTATCTTTACAAAAAATACAAAAATTAGCCAGGTGTGGTAGTGCACAACTGTGGTCTCAGCTACATGGGAGTCTGAGGCGGGGGGATTGCTTGAGCACAGGAGGTCAAGGCTGCAGTGAGCCACAGTCACACTACTGCACTCTAGCCTGAGTGATAGAGCGAAACCCTATCTTAAAAAAAAAAAAATAGACCAGGTGCGGTGGCTCACACCTGTAATCCCAGCACTTTGGGAGGCCAAGGCGGGCAGATCACCTGAGGTCGTGAGTTTGAGACCAGCCTGGCCAGCAGATGGTGAAACCCCGTCTCGCCAGCAGAGATGGTGAAACCCCGTCTCTACTAAAAATACAAAAATTAGCTGGGCGTGGTGGTGCACGCCTGTAGTCCCAGCTACACGGGAGGCTTAGGCAGAAGAATTGCTTGAACCTGGGAGGTGGAGGTTGCAGTGAGTCAAGATCACGCCAATGCACCTCAGCCTGGGTGACAGAGTGAGACTCCCTCTCAAAAAAAAAAAAGAAAGAAAGAAAGAAAGAAAATGAATGTGTTTCCCTAAGTTCACAACTGTAGCTGGGTATTCTTTGTAGGACCAGGTTGGGGTATGCATGGCTGGGGATCTGGAGAGGAAAGAATTGGGAGGTTGGGGTCAAAGGGCAATTCTAATAAAGAACAAGGAGTGGGGGCCTCTAGGCTTGGCTGCTTTGAAACCGGGTAAAGACTCCAGTCGCCTTCCTGGTTAAGGAACATGTTGTATGTGTCCACACCATACCTCTTTCCTCCAGGCTGCTCTTGAAGCAGTCCCACTCCTCCTGGGGGTGCAGAGCAGGGGTCTACAGTGGTGCCTGCATGGGAAGTAGAAGAGGGCTAGCATGGAGGAGAAGGGGGCTCAGTGTCCTTGAGCAGCTAAGGCCTGTTGGTCAACCTGGGTCCACCCTGCAGGGAAGCAGGTGTCCCTGCTGGCCTCCTTGTCGTGCCTGGACCAGGCCTCCCATTTCCTGCTAATGAGGCGCGGCTCCTCCAATGGCAGAGGGGCTATGCTCCTAGCAGGCAGGCTAGCGGGTGGGTGAGCAAGGGTGAGAGTGTGTCTGCCTGTGTTCTTTTAACGTCTCCAGAAAGGTCACTGAGGGGTCTCCATTAGGAGCGGTCTTGAGCCCTGTACTATTTTCTCATACAATTTAATCTACTCCCTGGATGGCCTCCAGTGTGTGAGCCACTGACAATCGCAGGTTTTTGCAATCAATTTCCTGGAAGCCGCGGCCCAGCCGGCAGCCACATGATGGATATATGCTAGGCGACCTGGTTCAGCAGAGGCTGAGGGGGCTTAGGAACCCCAGGCTGCCTTCCCACACCATGGCAGGGTCCCCGAAATGTAGGACGCATGCACTTCTGACCGCCAGCTCCACCCTGAAGCATCAATGCCTGGAGAACCACTCACACATGTGCACAAAGAGACATGAGTGAGCATGCTCGGTGCAGAATTGTTTGTATGGTAAAAACTGGAGCCGCCTTATCTGTTCATCAGGCAGGGCTGCTGCATTCTGGGTGTGGATGGCATCCCCTGGAATTGTGCAGAGGCACCATTTACCGTGAAAACCTTTTGACCCATGTCCCCTAGAGCTGGGACCCTGAGTGAGGGTGGGAGTGGGAGGGGCGTGGTTGAATTAACTGTGTTACAGGCATGCATGGAATATTAGGTAGAGGCTAAAAAAAAAAAAAAATGAGGATAGCTAGGTGTGGTGGTGCACACCTGTGGTCCCAGCTACTCATGAGACTGAGGCAGGAGGATTGCTGGAGCCCAGGAAGTTGAGGTTGTAGTGAGCTATGACTGCACTAGTGCACTCCAGCCTGGGCAAGAGTGAAACCACATCTCTAGAAAAAAGAAAAAAAAAAAGAGGATGTTCTATTTTTGTTGACATGAGAAAATGTCCAGGATACACAGTTATGGGGGGGGAGTTGCAAAGCAGTGTGGTCAGCGTGATCCCCTTCATGTAAAATCAAAGCAAAACAAAGATCTTGACATCATCCCCCTGGGTATGTACATGTACTATGCAGGGAAATGCCCAGAAGTCTGGGATGATTGGGGAAAACAGTGATATTGGCCAGAAATGGAATAAAAGGAATTTTTCACTTTTCTTTCTTTTTTCTTTTCTTTTTTTTTTTTTTTTTTTGAGATGGAGTCTCGCTCTGTCGCCCAGGCTGGAATGCAGTGGCGAGATCTCAGCTCACTCCAACCTCTGCCTCCTGGGTTCAAGTGATTCTCCTGCCTCTGCCTCCTGAGTAGCTAGGATTACAGGCACGCACCACCACACCCAGTTAATTTTTGTGTTTTCAGTAGAGATGGGATTTTACCATGTTGGCCAGGCTGGTCTTGAATGCCTGACCTCAAGTTATCCACCTGCCTCAGCCTCCCAAAGTGCTGGGATTACAGGCGTGAGTCACCGTGCCTGGCTCACTTTTCTTCTCTCTTTACCTCTGCTCACACTTTTTTCCCTAGGGAGGGAAAAAAATGTGTAAAAATAGAAAAAGAAAGTTCCCTCCTTTCTTCTTTGCCTGTTACCTAACTCCCTCATCCATCAAAGCCTTCCGCAAATTCCTAAATTCCCATTTTTTATCATCCCCTACAGAGCAGCTCCCTCCAAAGTTCCTTCCCATTTACTCTCCAAGAAGGAGCCCTGGGCAGGAGAGCTGGACATTGCCTGGACCCACATCAAAAGGTCCCTGCTGCACTGGAAGGGTCAAAGCATCCTATGCCCAACCTGGCCTTGTGATCTGAGTCTGGGGCTGCGGTGGCCAGGTTGTCCAGTGGACACTGTAGAGGCAGCCTCGGGGTGAGAAGCCCCTCATGTGGACCCGCAGCAGGGGACATAAGTGGGAAGGAATTCGAAGGCTGAGGGGGGAGGCAGGGGTGTAGCTACACCAAATAAAGCTCCTTCTTCTCACACCTGCCAGCATGCTGGGAGGATGCTACCTGTAGCATCCTAGGGATGGCAGAAAGGGGCAAGCACGGCTCTGCCTCTGGCCTCTGTGCCTGGTGCAGGCTCCACTGTGGTGTGGGGTCTCTGGCAGTGAGGACTAGGCTACAGCCACCACTCTGGCCTGTGAATCCTAAAGGAATCGGGGCACGACAGTCCCCATTGCCAACATAGAGTCCCTCAAACTCGTCCTGCCAGGCTAGGGCAACAGCTGTGACCCTCCAGGACTGTGCTCTGAGGAAGGAGCCTTCCACTCTAGAGACTGTGTGGCTGTCAAGCCTACCAAGGGCCCAGCCTCCACTTCCCGGGGAGCCTTTGTTTTCTCCTTCCTTGCTCTAGAAGGAAGAATGGGGGCTGGGGGCACGATCATGGACTATACACCTCTTCTGTGATAGGAGCCCGGCTGGTTTCCTGATACTTCAGCCCATTCACATGGTTTAACCGCCCTATAGATGAGGCTCACAGACATGGGAGTGACGGAGTGTGACTTGGCCACACAGCCGGAAGATACAGAGCTGAGATCCGTACCCCGGTCCTTCCATCCCAGGGGCCATTCATTCCCACGATGCCTCAGTGCAGCCTCGCTGTTCTGCAGGCTCAGAGAGGATGCTTACCCTTTACTCCTGGTGAGCAGAGAACCTAGCCATGGAAGGAAGCCCACAGAGGGAAAAGCTCCTGGGGCTCCTGGGGGCTCCCCAGCCCTCCCTGACCACTCCTCTGCGGGGGCTGCTTCCATGCTTCCAGGGGTCTTCCTTGCTTCCCAGTCCTCTGCATGCTTCCCTGACACCTCCACTTATGGAGCTCAGAGCCTGCTTGCGGGAGTCAGGTCAGCCAGGCCTTGACCCCGCCCTCCCCCCCGCTCACGGATTCAGGGTCCTTTTTGCTGGCATCACCCTGTCCCAGCCAGACGGGGAGGACTCCTTCTTCTAAGCTCTCAGCCCTTCCTGCCAACATCTTTTAGCCAAGATTCAGCGAATCAGCAAAGTCTGATGGTTAACATGGCTTCCATCCCAGCTCTGTCATCACTAGG